GAGGAGACATATATATATATATATATATATATATATATATATATATATATATATATATATACTCTGTATATGTTATGTTTTATTTCATTATCTCCAGCTTGAAGCCACTGAGGGCCAGGAGGAGCCTTATATATATATACTCTGTATATGTTATGTTTTATTTCATTATCTCCAGCTTGAAGCCACTGAGGGCCAGGAGGAGCCTTATATTGACTACTCTGCCAACAATGAGATGAGGAAGCTTCAGTTTTTTGGAGCAGGACCTAAGGCTGCAGTCCCTATCACTGTAAAAGGTGAGGTTAACAGACATTAGAAATGTCTTAGAATATTGACATTCGTTATTTATTGCTCCAAGACTGTCGTCTGTAACGCCGTGAAAGGTGAAGCATTAGAAATGTCTTAGAATATTGACATTTGTTATTTATTGCATCTTGTGTATCTGTAACTCCTTAATCATTGATAAATGTCATAAAATATTCCCCTTAATGAAAAAAATGGATGTGCAAAACTACAATATAATTTTTAATGATATTTTCAGAGGAAAAAGAGGTCAAAGAGGAGGGCAGTGGCAGGAAGAAATACACAGCAAGTAGCAAGAGTGTTAACTATGTATGTTTCACACAGTAATGGCTTATATCAGCTCTCCAGTCTTAAGCTTTCCCTTGGGTTCTCCACAGTAGATATTGAGTGCTCTCATTTATGTCAAATACAACATAAACCCTTGTCAACACTATTTACTAGGTGAGATGAGGTGGTGGTACCCTATTTAGAATCATGTGAATAAAAGTATTCTACATGTGAACACTGATGGCCAGAATGTGGTCAAAATAGTTGATATTCTTGTAAAACTAAGGGTACATCATTGAGTACTTAGTAGTAGCTGTGTTCTGTGGAGGACCTAATGATTGCATGGGACTTAAGTGGAGGTGCTTGGGTTTGGGGGGGGGGGGGGTGCTTATGGGTAAAAATGTTGGATGAATGCTAAATTTGAATGGGGGAGGATTTTGGACTGAGTTTGGAATTTATTATTTGATGACAATGCATCACTTGAGTTTGGTGTGGTCTATTCTCATTACTGTTTGCTGCGTACTGATTGTGTCCCTTGGAAAGATTTCTTATCAGCTTGCATGGAAATCAGTTCAAAGTGATGCTGTAGTTTAGATTTCATTGTCATATAGTTTTGTTTTGTTTGCTCCATTGAATTTTTAATGGGACAAGCTAAATTGAAATGTGTGTATTTTGTTACAATGAGATGACCTCTTAAGAGGCAGCATGCTTTTGCTGAAGTATATTGTGTATTGATAGCTTAAAACACTGGCATGAAAATATCATCAATAGTAAAGAAACTAAAGAACAAATTTTAATAAATCAAGAGAATAATATAAGATGAACAATGCTATATAATAAAAAGTTAATTAATTGTTGATGGAATTATTGAAGTGTTGCAGTTAGTGTTGTATTTTTCTGTAGGCAGTGTACATTAGCCTTATGATATTACAGACCACTGTGTTCAAAATTTGTAACAAATTGGTTTGATAAATAACTACAACTGAATGTTAAGTTTGTTAGATTATGGTGGTAGGTGTGCACGTAAAAATGATTCCAGTCAGTTAGTTTTTTCAAATCTAACACCATTTACCATGGACCTCTAGATAGTTCTAGTTCTCCATCCATCCACATATACCAAATAGTCTTAGTTTTCTATCCAACGGGTTGATTTCCCAATGTGCTCAGATTGACCTAGTTTTCTGTATAACCTTGTCGTGTTCTCAGATTGACCTAGTTTTCTATGTAACCTTTTGACCTTGCCGTGTCCTCAGATTGACCTAGTTTTCTGTATAACCTTGTGACCTTGCCGTGTCCTCAGATTGACCTGTACATGTGCCATACATGTGGTCTGGGAGATGACGAGGACATGATGTTACTGTGTGATGGCTGTGACGATGCTTTCCACACATACTGTCTGGTACCACCACTACAGGAAGTTCCTAAGGGAGACTGGAGGTGCCCTACATGTGTTGCCAAGGTGAGGAAACTACAGGGTGTGTGTGCATCTGTGTGTATTTGAGTGAGAAAATTTAGGGTGTGAAATGCAGGTTAAATAATAGCATTTTAGCATAGCTTTATATAAGCTGGTGGCACAATTGTTTGTCTATTACTAGTTATAAATTTTGAGAAACAGTTATAAACAGTTTATATTTAATTCTGCCAATTTGCAATCATATAGCTGGTACATTTTGTCTATTACTAGTTATAAATTTTGAGAAACAGTTATAAACAGTTTATATTTAATTCTGCCAATTTGCAATCATAAAGCTGGTACATTTTGTAGTATTACGTAAAGGACTCAGCTGATGTTGTCTTACGCAGCATGTAGCGTGCTATTTCCTGACTGGACGTGTGGTGTTATATTGTAGGAGGTGAACAAACCCAGGGAGGCATATGGCTTTGAGCAGTCTCAGAGAGAGTACAGTCTACAGTCCTTCGGGGAGATGGCTGACGAGTTCAAGAGCACTTACTTCAACATGCCAGTTCATGTAAGTAGACAGGTCATTGGGAGCCTTTCTTGTGGTAGTGGTTATAGTGTACTGAACTAAAACATGAAACAAGAAAGATAATGATGGAAGTCACAGTCAAAATGTTTAAGTGTGCTTTAAGGCACAATGTTTTCATATTGGGTATGAAGTGAACTGTTCCTTATTCAGATTGAAGAGTTACAAAGGGATGTTTATATAATAACCAGTGTCTCTTCACTTTCAGCTTGTGCCATGTTCTACAGTGGAGAAGGAATTCTGGCGTTTGGTGAACAGTCTGGAGGATGATGTATTTGTGGAGTATGGGGCTGACATCCACGCCTCAGAGTGTGGCAGTGGCTTTCCCACCAAGGAGACCAAGGACCAGTTTCCTGAAGATGAGGTAGGTAGGGGAATTGGTTCATGAAAACAGGTTTGGAACCCGTGACATGGTCACCAAGAAGTGGGGCTGATACTGTTCATTTGATGTCAAATACTCCTCTGGGAGCAGTAAGGATAGGTTATATTTTAAATGAATCAGAATGATTTTAAAGTGCCTGTTTTAAGAGATATAAATATGTTCAGTTGTCAGCCTCTCTAGTGTCTTATTTTTCTATTCTGATTGTGGCTACTATTTCAGGAATACATCAACTCTGGCTGGAACCTGAATAACCTTCCCATCCAGGAGAAGTCTGTGCTCAGTCATATCAATGCTAATATATCTGGGATGAAGGTGAGTGAGGAGAACCACTCCATCCACAGGGTGCATTGTTCCAATAATTTGAAATTCCGTTACTGGAATATTTGGTCAAATCGTAGTAGCATGAAATGGTCAAACTATACTCTGTATATGATGTCGATTGTTGTGGTAATTTTATGAAGAAAATTATAGTCCTGTGTGTTAATTAGT